GGACAAAAACATATCATTACCACAATAGATACGGAAAAAGCATCAGTTAAAGCTCAGTATGATTTAAAAAGAAAATATCCTTGTATTCCAGGAATGAAAAAATATAAAGTTACCCTGATAAAGGATAACTATAAGAAACCTACAAACACCATACTCAAGGAGGAAACAGTAAAATCATTTTCTTTAACATTAGAAAACACAGATGCTCATCAGTCTCACCCCTAAATATTGTATTGGTGGCTCTGGCTGAAGACAAGAAAATTAAGTCAAGAGTTAAAAGACTGGGAAAAAACAAAACTATTATTAACTGCAGATGCTATGATTCTTTACATAGATAACCCAAAGAAATGTGCACACAAATTATTAGAATTAACAAGGGAATATAACATATTTAACAAAGAAGTCAACATTAAAACGTCAACTATTTAAATAAGCACTAAAACAGGGTCTGTGGGTTTTTTTTTAGATTTTATTTAAAATAACAATAAAAGTATATGGTATTTGGAATAAGCCTGACAAAATATTTTAATTTATATAGTATATAGAAATCTACAAAGCACTGAAAGACATTAAAGACCTAAATAAGAGATATACCATGTTTATGGATGGGAAAATCCAATATTATAAAGACATAATATATAAAGACATAAATTATCTCCCAGTTGATCTATAATGCATGTCATTCCACTACACAAATCAGACACATTTTGCAAATTTTCAAGCTCATCCTAAAATGTATGTGCAAGTTGCAAAGGCAAGAATACCTAAGATAGTCCTGAACAAAAGTGCAGAGTTGCAGGCCTTGTTCTAGTAGATATTAAGACTTACAAATTTTTGTTTTGTTTTGTTTTGTTTTTAGCTGAGCCATCCTGCCACCTGTTGGCAGCTCAGCAGCAGCTCACCTCGGGCCGGGCATCGAACCACTGTTGCTCAGAGCTCAAACTCTTGAGCGAGCTCTTAACCAACTGAGCCACTCGGCTGACCCTACAAATCTTTTTTATGAAGTCACGGTATCAATACAAGGGTAATCTAATAGAATAAATGGACAAAATAGAACCTAGAAGTAGACCCATACATATGTGGAAATGTGATGGAAGGCAAAGGTAGCATGGCAGATCACGCGAGTAAATAATTTGCTTTTTCTTTTGAGTGGTCCTTGGATAGGGAGGGAGAATTGAAAACAATGGATCCCCAGCTCACACTTGACATGGAAACACCACTGCAGATATGTTGAAGATATAAGATGCATAACTTTAAAACTCTTTGAAGAAAATTTAAGAAAATATTCTTATGACCTCAGTGTAGAGAAAGTATTTTTACATAAGACTTTTGTTTGGGTTTATTATTTTCGTTTGGGTTTATTGGACTCTGAGATATGGATACTAATGCAAGGAATTTATTTAAGAGTTGGTCTAGGTCCCACTGGTAAAGAGGAAAGGAAGTGACTCACAGAAGGGAAGTAAACCAAGGTGAGTTATCCAGAAAGTGACCTTGTAATAACTGGGTTGTAGAACAGGGCCACTCCAAATGTGATACAAGGACTAGCACTGACTCATGAGTGCTTTCTGGTTCATGACAAGATAATTACAGCTATAAAGGTTACATTTTTGAGAAGAAGGAGCTTGGATTTTCTGTTTTTAATTTCACTTTTACTATTTTACTTTTCTATTGTTTTTTGGGGTGTATATATTTTATGGTAGTATCAGTCCACAGTTGGTTGGAAATAATAATAATAATAATAATAATAATAATAATAATAATAATCAGTACTGGGGGTTCAGAAATTGAGATAGTTTAAGAAGGATTAATATGTCTGACAGTTAACCCAGCTGAGTTGTGAGGACACTAGGATATTCATCCGTCAACTTCCTGTCTTCCATTGCTTGAGGCATGTTTTGGGGGCATTCATTCTCTGGCACTTCTTGCTTGCCCTGGGTAGAGACCAAACTTGTTTCCACGGCCTTCAGGCAGAGTAGCCAGTGTTCCGTCATAAGCACTAGTAAGTGGCCAAGGAGCCAACAGCATCTGCTACTCAGCCCTTTTTGTTGCCTCTCTGAACATGGCATCCCAGTTTCTCAGTTTCTTTGTTTTCCTCCTAATTGCTAATGTTGGAATTCCTCATGGCCTAGTCCTAGACCTGCTTTTTTTGTTTCCCTCTACTCTAAGATCTTGCTGTATGATCAATTTCCTGCCCATGGTTTTGATGGCTAAACATTGGCTCCAGTCTTGTATACCCAACTGCTGCTCAACATTGCCACGTGGGTGTTGTACGCACAACTCAAATGAAGTCTAACCGAACTGAACTCACCAGCTTCCTTTCCTAAACTAGCCCTCTTCTAAGCATCCTCTCTGTGAACTCTGATCCGCTCCAGTTGTCTAAAACAGAAGAGCAGGGGTCTTCCTTGACACCTCTCGTCCTTTCGTCACCCTTATCCATCACCACTAGTTTCGCACCCCCAAATCTCTTACACAATCTGTTTCTCTTCTGCAAACCACCACCCTGGTCCAAGCTACCATCTCTTCTGCCCAGGATGGTTTTTCTCCTGCTGTTCTTGCCCTCCCAAAGCTATCCACCACACTCAATACCCACCTTTGCCGCCTGTGCCCTAGTAGCTTCTGTTTGTCCACTGACTCTAACTTATTTTCCCGTTATTATCCTGACTTGCCAGACTAGATTTTCTCTGCTTGTCATAATTCCCTCAAACCCTTGAGTATTTACCTCAAAAGTCCTGATAACAACTTTTAAAAATTAATTATGAGTGTAATTATTTATGGAATGTCTGTTTCCCTTTTCAGGATATGGGCTTTATCAAGGATCTGACTATATCTTTCTTTGTCACTGGCACATTCCTAGTGATTACCACAGTCCCTTGGTCATACTAAATAGTCAATAAATATTTGTGGAAAAGATGAATGGATAAGGAAAAGCCATCAGAGATCCGACTACTTAGAAGCTTCTATATACCTAAAAGATTTAAAAAGCAAATGAAAAAAGGCAGAAAAATACTTGTAACCTATGTAAAAAAAAAAACCTTATCTCCTTAAAAACAGATTATAATTACAAGCTCATAAAACAATGATGAACAAAAATGAAGAGCCAAACAGGAAAATGAGCACAGGGCATAGAGAGCATGCTCATAAAAGAATCAATGGAAATGGCCCATTAAACGGAAAAACAAATCTGTACTTCCCAGTATTTTAAAAAAGTACACTTATTGTTTTTAAATAGTCAGTGGTGGCAAGGGTTGGGAATAGGCATATTCTTCTTTTGGAGATTCCAGAATGGTACACACTTTCCGGAAAACGATCTGTCCCTATGTGTCAAACGCCTTAAAAATAAAATCATTCATTAACTTTGGCTCAGTCCATTGATTTCCAAAAATTTATCTTAGGGACATCAGCAGAGTTCCATGCAAATACTTATTTGTAAGAATGCTCATTACGGTGTTACTTATAAAGAATGTAAGCCAACTTTTATTGCCCAATAATAAAGGATTGGAGACTATAATGGGGGCATATTCTACTCTAAGCAGCCATTAACATACGTGGCCCCAAAGAACATTTAAGGATTTTTTATTTTAATCTGTGATTTGTTTAGCGGTAAAAGAAGGTCACAAAACAATATGCACAGTAGGAGTTTAATTTTTAAAAATTATATATATATATATATATATATGCACATATACATACAGAAGCATAAAAATATCTCTAGTTACAGGGATTATGAGTGATTTTATTCTTTTCTTTCTTTAATCTTTTTGTATATTCTTAATAGTCAATGCATTTTATGTATCGTGTCCATAATGAGAAAAGCTAGCTGTATTTTCATTTAACAATAGGGAACTGATTGCAACATACGGCCGAGGCTATATCTAGAGAGGCATAGCATGATGATGAAGAGTATATGCTTTGAAGCTCACACACAGGTGCTCAGTTCCCTCTCTGCAACTTAAGAGCCATATGACCTTGAGCAAGTTATTTCATTCTCTTAGCCTCAGTTCCCTTATCAGCACAAAAGAGGCAGTGCATCCTGAACAGAGAGCAGTGTTGTGGCTTAAATGAAATAATGTATGTAAAATTCTGATCAAAGCATAAACGCTTAGTAAAAAGACCTGCTTTTATAATACCAAAATATAAATAGATACGGTAATGATTTACATGAATTCATGATTCTCTAGGGGCTTATAACTGGAAGTTTGAGGATTGATTTATTTTCGGTTCAGCATCTTCCAGACTGTCATAATGATGGTGGAATCGAGCAGGAGGACACTGGGTCCCAAAGCAGCCCAGGAAAGATTTCGCCCATTAGGGCAAAATGCTAGCATAGGTCATCCAACCAGCCCTTGGTTATTAAGCATCTGCTGTGTTCCAGGCACTGGAGACTCAGCAGCTAGGCAAACTAGCTGCCCTCTTGGAGTGAGGCGAGCTTCTTCTAATGGGATTGGGGTATCAAGGCACATAGCTCCTGTCGGACCCAACTGAGGAAGCTCTTCCTATAGTTGGAGAAAACTCGGAAGGGTTAGGAAAGTGATTGTGAAGCTCACTTTGCAATCCCCAATACCAGGCCTAAGGCCAGAGCCTGATTCCAGAACCCACCTGCTGGCAGGGCCAGGGCCTAGTGACGGCGTCCTCCCTACCCTGGTCAAGTTTAGTTCAAGACCAGGCTTGCTCAGTCGGCAGATGAAAAGCCACTGGCCTTCCAGGGCAGGGATGAGCAAACCATGGCCTTCAGGTCCACTCCAGCCCATTGCCGGGTTTTAGAAATAAAGTTTCATTGGAAGGCAGCCACACCCTTTCATTTATGGATTGTCTACAGCTGTTTTTTGTGCTCTAAGTGCCAAGTTGTGTCAATACAACAGGGACCGTAGGTTCCACAAAGCCTGAAGTATTTTCTTATGTGACCCTTTACAGAAAAGCTCTGCCGACTCCTTTCTAGGTCAGTGGGGCCGGGGAAATGAGATGGAAGGTGACATCAAGGTTCTAACTTTTCCCCTCTGTAGTTCCAGGAGCTGTTCCTCTAGAGTCCATCCAAGGGGGGCCCTTTGAGGAGAAGATCTACATCCAGTGGAAACCTCCCAACGAGACCAATGGGGTCATCACGCTGTATGAGGTAAGGCGGCCCCTTTTGCTATATCACGTATTGTGGTTTTATTCAGTGGACTTCAGCCTGAAGTTGGTGAATACCTACTGTGTGCAGATCTCCACTGAGGGCATGACGGTGAACAAGACACAACTTACCAAGGGGTTGCTGACAATACAGTGGGAGGGAAACACAGAGGCATCCAGTTGTGCTGTCTTGATAGGCCAGTGGTGAAGAAATCTGGACATACGATGCAGTGACGGGAAGCAAGGAGCCAGGACTCAGGGAGTCAGGTTGTCCTGGCAGAGCCAAGAAGACCCAGGCCTGGCCAATGGTGGTTCCAGTTCATGTGGAAAACCAAAACACTCAGCACTCCCATAATGCCCATCCTACCCATGAGTCCCTGGGCTTCCAAAGAACCCCAATGCCATTCTCTACCCTGGGGGTACCTGATTCTAGAGCTTTAACATGGCTCTGTGGCCAAGCCATGTTTGATTGGTATCCAGGTGATGATGTCTCAGGATTAGGGCCGTATCATATCAGAGATGGAGCAGAACCTCCTCAGGCAGGAATGCACCCATAAGCCAACACAATGTGGCTTCCTGAACTCCTTCAAAATTAGAACAAATTGTATAAAAGTCCATCGCAAAACAAACAAGTAAACAAACTTCAGTAAGGCTGATATAGCTAAATTCTAGTATGGGGATGGAGACAAGATGGACTCTCCTCCCAAGCCTTATAATCTGAGGCAGAGGAGACTGTGACACAGGGTCTGATAGGAAAACACAGCAATGCAGGCCTCCATGGAAGCTGACCGGGGAGATGGGGCCTAGCCTCCTTCCTAGTAGCTCTACCAGCCTCAAGGGACCTTTGGAAGGTTCTTTCTCTCCTAAGCCTCAGTTCCTCATCTGTAAAGTGGGGGTGATAGTTGCTGCTTCAGGGCTCCTCTAGGGACCCTGAGGGAAGAAAGGTCACGGGCATCCCCAGGCTGAAACACGCTGAGTGCTCGTGCACAAAGGAACATCTATGGAGAGTGTGCTCGGGGGAGGATACCCCCATCCCAAGGGAGGGTGAGCTCTGGGGAGGCCAGCCAAGGAGTACTTGATGAGGGAGGAATATTCAAGATGAAGCTGATGGACACAGAAGCTCCCCAGAGAGACCTGGGTGGCCCTCGGAGCTCACTGAGGGAGGAGACAACTACCCAGGGTGTACAAGGGAGAAAAATACCTTCAGAAAACGCCTCTCTCACTAAATCCAGCAACCCTCAGAAGAAGAGCTGTCTAACATCTCCATCTTGGGCCACATGGTGGGGAGAAGCTTCCTTCCTGTAGCTGGGAACGCTGCTCGCGGAGGGCGGCTCTCATAGCGATACACCTTGCCCCGAACATATTCAGTACCTTGTTCCGGAAGAGAGGGACTGGAAGCTCAACTGAAACGAAACCCAGTCATTTCAAAGCTGCGTGCTGTTTGTAAAGCAGGGGCCACAGTGTCTCTCTCTCTCTCTCT